CCAAATGCTGACACTTGCATGTTTGTTGAGCCACGGCAGAGCTACAGGAGCATTGTGCAGGCCATTGGGCGGGTGTTGCGTCCTGCCAAGGCTCTTGCACATATCGTTTTACCTGCTGTGGTGCTACCAAATGTGAAGTCAGCTGAAGGCTCATCAGAGTCGGCGAGAGCTGGACATGACGCTGCTAGTGACCAGGATGATGTTTCTTTGTCAAATGTGCCTGCACATCGTTCCGGTATGAAGAGCCTTGGCGGCTATGCATCTTCACTATCTTCACTTTCCTCTCGCCATGAGAATGGAGCGCAGATGGCGAATAAGTTCAAGAGCACCGCTGATATCTTTGACAGCTTGAGTCGGCAGTTGGTGGAACAAGAAGCAGCACCTGGTTCTAGGCCGTCTCAAGCACATCACGGCCACCGCAAAATGCCGGAAAAGTGTTTATTGAAGGGCTTTTTCGACCCACGGCAAAGAGCAGTGCCCCCGCTCCGGCCACGTGTGTTTTCCGGTGGCGGGACAAGGCATCAGGAGAAGCAAGGAGAACTGCCTGAAAATTGGAACTCGGTCTCTTCCGTGGACAGCCTGCAGCTGAATAGCAGGGGCAAACCTGCTACAGTGAGGTGTGCTGCAAGTGGTCAAGCTCAGCTTCCAGACACTTTGTCACAAGCAGGCGAAGGCAGCAGCAACATAATGAGCCGAAGAGGTGTTAGCACCAGCCAGAATGCTGACACAGTGTTGGGCCTTGAGACTGAGGCTGCGCGGCCAGGGGGCAGCCGCAACCGATACCTTGAAGCAGACCCTCTTGATGGCATCCTGCGCAACGGTCGTACCAAAACCACTAGGCCAGAGGTCAGTGAACTACCTAATTTCGCCAGTGCAGAGAAGGACAGTCCAGATGAAGAATCTCGTCACAGTGATGGCTTTGCAAATCGGTCCCCCTCACCCACAGGCAGGACCAAACAGGACTTGCAGACTCTTCCCAGCCCCGCAACTGAAGCACAGCCGCATCGGACGATGCGAGTAGCATTGGGAAGAAAGAAGCAAACACGGTTGACGTTTGGGAGCGGCGATGGGTTTGAAGCTTGTGACAAGAAGTATTATGAGAATCAGCTGGAGTGCTTTTTGGGAGCCTTGGTGCAAGCAGATCACAGGTGGATTGGGGCTGATGCCGCTGCCGGACATAGAATCCAAATTGTCGATTGCAGTTTGGGCCTGGAAGGAGAACTTGGGGTGGACGGATTCATGAAAGAGGTGTATGGCCGGCTTGACGCGGTTTTGTCTCAAAGGGACGGATGGGAGACTCGCTTCAGAGAATTGGAAGCCTTTGTCGAGAAGAACGGGAGGCTTCCTCGATGGCGGGGAGCTGTTAGTGATCATGCTGAGATAGTGCTGTCCATGTGGTTCAAAAACCAAGGTCAGCAAGATCCGATCTCATCCGCAGACGTGCTGAAGGGTGGACCACCGGCGACCGTGATGGTGGCTTCCAGCAGAATTGCCGGGAGCTGAAGGAGTACATAGAGTTGAATGGTAAGATTCCAACCAAAGCGAAGCCCGACTCTTCCGGCTCTCGACTGGCGATGTGGTTGCACCGTGTTCGATCGACCGCCGCTCATGATGCCAAGCCTGAGAGGAGGAAGATGCTGGAGGAAGTGCATCCTTTAGTGAAAGAGCTCCTCCAGAACTGGGACGACAGCCCTCTCAAAATCAACAGGGTAAAATGGGAAAAGCATTTGGAGAAAGTCCTCCACATCGTGAAGAAGCATGTGCGGCTCCCGAAATGACCGGAAAGAGCAGAGTACGAGTGGCTCAGAGTGCAACTCCGACGGCTTGACACTTTGCCGCCTGAGCTGGCAAAGCGACTTCGTGGCTCTCATCCACTCATCGCAGAAGCTGCCAGGAGGTCGGAACAGAAGGGGAGGGTTACAAAAGCCACGCCATTTTGAAGGGTTGGGTGCGGGTGCAGAGGATCGATCCGAATACCCGAATATCACATTGCCGCAGTGAAGTTTGTGTTCGCAGACCTCAAAGAAGGCCAAGGTGTTGATGTTTGTGACTGGT